AGAAAACCATGTTGTTGGTTACATGTAAAATTGTTACTCATGACTCGATGTTTATCTTATACATCGTAACCGTAAGTTTGCAGATATGAGGTCTAGGTAGGCCTAGATTTAGATGAGTAATTAATCTGTGCGGCTCATGCAGAATTAGTAATTAATTGAACCCCAGTGTCTAAAAATTCAAAATTTTCTTTGGCATTAACTTCACACAACAATTTCCTTCATCCAACCGTTTGCTTTTGCACCAGTAAATTTCTAGGGAAGAAAATTATAGAACGGTCTGGTAATCTTTACATAAATGCCAACTGCATTCTGCTAGCAACTACTTACTGACATGCAGGTTAGCTTGCTGGGAATGTTTTCACCAATGAGTAATGTTGTTAGTGAGTTAATTAGCTCAAGAGCTAATCTTATTTGTTTTCAATGAGCTTGAATTTGAACTTGATTTTGAGTAAGTTAATTCATTGAGCTTGTTAGATAAAACTTAAAATATGCAAGTAACTTAATAATTTATATGTATAGAGAGTTTATGACTAGGTCGCAAGCTACTCAAGGTCTGTTCTTGAACAGGCCAAGGTTGAGCTCAATGAAACTTGAGTTTGAATTCATTAGTTTTCAACTCGATTGGCTCAATTCATTTTCCGTCCTACCGTTATGATGATTAAAAGTTGGTTAAGCACCAAATTAATGAATGAAAAAAGAGGGGAAAAATCAGCCTAACTATGGCATTAATCATTTGAAATTTAACGTGACCTAAAGCCAACTGAAATTCCTGCTTTGGCTTCCTAAGAGTGTTTTTGACTTGAAAAGTGACTTTAGACTCAATGGTACACAATTAACATTAATAATTATGTTTTATTAACACTTTAATTTCATTTTCACCATGAACATCCGGTGTTCTGCCCTGTTCTATTTCTAAAGTGCTTCATTTTCTAGCTTAAAACTTTTTCTGAAAGTCAAAAGAGCACGAGTGCATCCATAGGACCAGCAGATTGCTCTGCTTTTACTCCTTTTTGTAAAAGCAGGACCAATTAATTATTAACATTATAGTTCCAATAAATGTCATGCCAATGGGGGCTGTCCCTAGGAAAAGAATAAAGGAAGTTAGCCGAGCTAGCTAGCTTGGCCAATTCTTCCCTTAGACTCGTGTCGTGATATAAATTATATTCGTGCACCTCCCTCCTCAGGGCTCAGTTACTTCTTTGTTACGCTCTTCTGCTTCCTCCGCCGCTGCCTGCCTCCACAGCCATACCCCTGCATTTTGTATCTTTTCTCATAGAAGGTTTAGGTAATGTTTTAATTCATCTGTTTTCATTCTGACATTTGATTCAAATTAAATTTTCTTGACAGTTTTTGCATGTTGGGCGCTAAGGTATTTTGTAGATATATCTGTACCCATATAGGATGGCACGAGCGCTGAGATTGGGAACTCTTAATGACTATGAAAGGCTATGCAAAGCATTTCTGGCCATGGTTTTGGCCATTATGCTTCTCTTCTTTGGTAAGTATATATGTTTTATGTACCTTCCCCTGTTTATGATCTCTAATCTCTTAGCATTGTAGAGGTTTAAACCCCCTAACTTTGAACATCAACTCAAGTAAGTTATGATCTTTTCTTAAGGGATTTCAAGGTTAATGGATGCTGAATCTAGTATACTACTACAATTAATGTTAGATACCTGTAACTTCGTGCTGCTGTTGTGTATTTGCACTATATCCCAATAAACTGCATTTTCTTGAACCCTAGCTGTTGCACATGTTAACAGTTTTTGAGTTTTGAACATATCAAATTAACAATGCAGCAGTGGAGCTATTCCAAGACGAAGCCATTGGTGAAGCTAGCTTGTTCTTATCCAAGGAGAACTGCAGCACCGCCTCTCCTCGGAAGTTGCTGCAGTCTACAGGTAAATATAGGATTAATCAGGGTTTATATATTTTTCTCTTCTCTATTTAGGGAAACAGATTAAATTTGATTGGTTGAAATAGTTTTCGGTCAAACCAAACAGGCTTTTAATCAATATTTGTTGATTTTAATTGTAGATAACGGGGAAGGAAACAGGATGGGAACAGAATGTTCAAAGGCAGACATTGCTATATTCCAGGGCACGACAGCGCCGCTGCCTAGTGGAATTCCGTCGTACACAGTGCAAATTCTGAACGTTTGTGTCTCAGGCTGCAGCATCTCCGACATTCACGTAAGCTGCGGATGGTTTAGCTCAGCCAGGTTGATCAATCCAAGAGTATTCCGGCGACTCTACTACGATGATTGCCTGGTTAATGACGGGGAGGCTCTTGGTCCCGGAGAAACCCTCTCCTTCCAGTATTCCAATAGCTTCCGATACCCTCTCTCTGTCTCTTCCGTTGCTTGCTGCTATTAATAAATTGCCATCATCTCACGTTTAAATCTTGGTTGTTTTTCCTTTTTTTCTGGTAATTTGAGGTTTAAATCTTGTGATAATATGTATGTTGGGAGTACACATGGTAGGATAAGAATAAAAGTTAAAATTAACTTTCACACAAATATAACTTTTATATAAAATTTTTATTGTTTATCACAAATTTATTTCCATTCTATTATGTTTTAAAAATAGAAATTTTAGTTTATAGTTATTATTGTATTAAATTGTAAAATAAAAATTATTAAAAGACTTTTAATATTAAAAACTTAGCTTTTATTTAATAATTAATATAATATAATTCAACAAAGGATTCAAATGGTTTATTGGTCTTTTTTTTTTGTTAAAAGTAAAAAATTTTAAATTCGAGTTACATAACATGCGGTAGAGTAGAATAAGAAATAGAATATGAAATGATTATCTCTCATTGTAAAATTAAGATAAAAAAATTAATATAATTTATTTATAATATACTTTTTATTACGTTACTTAATAAGTAGGCCTTGTACAACACTCTTGTTATTACTTATTCCAGGTTTGAAACTTGGGATTCTTTGCTTTTTCGTTTTTTTTTTTCTTCGCGGGTTGAGTATTGACGGTATTTGGGCCTGACTGATTCCTAAATCATAACCAATACAATACTGTTAATTGCTGGGCCTTTTTTCCATTACCCAAACTATATAGGGCTGAAATGGAGGAGGAAAATGTCGGGCTGCTGTGGGGCTAATTTAATTTGGGCTTATCAGAGCCAAGCCCAAACCGAGAACACATAACATGATAACATTGAACCAAGCCCAGTCACAGGGGGAGGGAGAAGATGGTTAGAAGATATTGGAAGGAGCAAGATTCTGCAAAGGGGGTCATGTACTAAGCAGATGGAGAAAATTTAGCAAAATCTACCAAAAATCAAGACACAGTCGACATCTTCAAATGAAAACTCAATAACCATAATCATAAATAAAATCAGTGACACCAACCATGGCAGAAAGAACTTGGGAAACAACGTAGATGCCGCCACCTATGATCACCAAGATGAGAATTGCAGAGATGGGGTTCTTCAGCAGCTCCAATATAGGCTGGAGGACGGTATATATAGCTCCTGTACTGACTGTGAGAGCATAAAGTGCATACCTCCTCACATTGTCCCAAAACTCCTCTACCAGAGGCCCTTCAGGACCCAAAGCCAGAGCCTTTTGATCATCCATTCCCATAAACAGCAGCAAAAAACCTACAGAAACAGCTCCCACCATCACAATACCATTTGATGAAACTCCAGGAATAGAAAATTCCCTTCTTGGGGTTTCTTTTTCTTGCCATTCAAGTGAAATTTCTGGGTATTTCAGTCGCCTATCTGGAAGACTGGTTTCTCTGGGGAACCCTGTTGTTTCATTTGTTTGTCTGCAGAATGCTGTAATTCTTGAAGATGGGTGTTTCAGGGTTGATGTTTGAAGAAGTGAAGGATTTCTAGTGGGATTGCTGTGCCTTATCAAGGTGTGAATTTGGAGCCTTGGTGTGAAGCTCTTCATTTTTCCAGAGACCAAACTTGCGGTATTCTGGTGAGACTAAATGGACATTGTGTGGCTGCTGTGACCATTGGTTCTGTTATCCCCTCCTTAACCTTATCTTCACCCTCAAAGTGGGCCTAGACTATACTAGACCGTATATACCTTCCTAATGAGAAAGAACTAGCCCTTAATTTGCAGAGTCAAACTTACATAAAAAAATGTCATTTCTGCAGATTGCGGCCACCTCAGCTGCTAAATGTGAAACGTGATCCAATCACAGGACTAGACATTCCATGTGTATCGTTGCAGCTTCACATGCATGAATATCCTTAATTCACAAATTTCACAGTCCCCATTTTGCCCTCCCCTTTTTCTTCCACTTTTCTCCCCCATCCCCGGACCTTATGCTATGGCCTGGCCTCCTTAACCCCTAATGCTCCTGCAATCCATCTTTTTCTTCCCAAATCAATAGGGGAACCAAAACAAAAGTATGGTTCCCAAGCAAAATTTGCTCTTTTCTTCTCTCCTCCGCTACTTTTCTTGGCCTTCTTTCCTTTTTGATTTACTGGGTTATTAGTTTGTGATTTATTTTTTTATTTTCTTTGGGGGTATTTACAATTTTGCATGGTCCTGGATTACTGATTATCTTGTTCATTATCCAGTTTCTCTTTTTTTCTTTTTCTGTTAATGCTATCTGCGTGCTATCCGGAGTTCTCAAGCTAAGCTAGAACTAGAAGGTGTACTCAG